GAGTGCTCAATTGAATCCCTATCTCCGCAATATACATATTCATCGTCCGCCCTAATACCAAATTTGAATAGTTCTTTCTCAGTTACTATCGTTCTGTCGACTAATTTAAATTGAAATTCTTTTAATTTAGTTTATCTATAAATGTTTTCAGTGATTTAAAGATCTTAGTCCATACTTCTTTCTTTAAAGAGAGTTTTTCGCTCCAGGGTTTAGGGCCCGTTTGATCCTCGATGTAAATCTTGACGTTAAGCAGATTTTAGAAGTCCTTTGACTTAGCCTTGAACAAATCAATTTGGGTCGTTGAGGGAAAAGATATCATTTCGGGTAAAGAATGATTTGTTGATGGTGTCGGAGCCTTTGGCTAGAGACCATAAGCGTTTAGGAATAGCGCGAACTACTTAATAATACCGTAAGAAATTAGATTTACATGAATATTTATCACGGAACTCGTGGAATGTTAAAAAACATTGCCACTTTCATTCCATAGATCGTTAATCGATAGAATACCTGTTTTAAACTATTCATTAAGGAAGATGTTATTAAACAATATTAACTCCTGCTTTTGATCGTACGAGTAAAGAGTTTTTAACTCGTTAAAGAATTCCAGTATCTTCTTATAGAAGAGCTCGAGATCATTAAAGTAACTCGTGTCGTAGTTGCACCTTAGTAGAAAGTTTAACCCTCCCTTACTTCTGATATAATGTTTTGGAATAATACACCAATTATTATTGTCCGAAATCCGCAACAGTCTCGGGATCCAAGCGAGTTTAGGGCTTTTAACATAATATCAAAATCGGTCATGCGTATGCCACCGTTGTCTAAATCTTGGTAAAAGCCTGATCTTTTTGTTTTATCTTTTTCGTTTTTCCAGAGGAATTTAAAAGATTTTGTTCTTAAAATTTCCACAATTCCCTTGGGAACATCCAGATTAGAGGCCGAATAGATAAGTTTCGAGAGACCCAAGGTTTTAATTAACGTGGCTCTTCCAAATATCGTCAAATCCCGTGAACTCCACATATCCAGCTTAGTTTGCAACTTTTGGATCTTTTTGTCTAAATTGAGCTCGTTATTCTCCTTAATATTGTACGAAAAATATATCCCCAATATCTTAACAGGGCTGTGGATCCATTACTTTTCCATCTCCCCAACCAAAGCGCCTTCGTTTTCTTTACATTTAGGGACAGACCAGCAATTCTTCCGAAATCCCCAACAATTTTCAAGGCCATTTCATTGAATAGAGTAGTATCATCAGTGAATTGGGACAGCTTGATTTCGTCCGTCTGGCGAAGTCTTCACGAAAACTGTACCGTCCATCGACCACGCGCTCAATAGTTCGCTGTCTCTACGTTTCTCGTTAGCTCTAGACATGATGCGTCGACGGTAGGAAGTTAAGTTTTCGTTGATGAAGATCCGTGTCGATTAACACGTATATTCATTATACTTCCTTCAGGTTTAATAATCTAAAAACAAATTGTTCATAGAAACGACTGTGACCACACGCGCGTGTATCATGCAGGGCGTGCCTCAGATCAGTGCCTTAAGACACAAAACAAAACAAATGATTAATCATTCAATTCATGAATGAATAAATAAGCAATAGTCTATTATTTATTGTCATGGGGCATTCAGGTCGAATTAGAAATTGTGAGTGTTTTCTTTCAACCCACATGTAAGTGAAAGTCTCGGAATCGAACCCAGGCCACATTTTTGGGAAATTCTTTTCTCAAAACCGTGCTATCCCTTTTGCCTACATAAATCATTAAAAAAATCTATCTGGTTAGGGTAGAGTATGCAATGAACCCCTTTGGTGCGACTTTAATTCTCATTTTCGCTTAAGCATGAGGTGTTAAGAAACTGTTGATTAGCAGACCACGGAACTTCCAGAGCCAGTGAAACCTGTGGAACCTCTGCAACCAGCGGAACCTACGGAACCACCAATTTTTGTTAAAAAAATAGTAATGAATTTAAACATAACCTAAAAATACCTTAACGCTCTTCGAAATTTCGTTTTCGGGTATAAAGAAGATAACGTTAAAGGAGAAATAGGTTTTTTTTTCTACCTTGACGTCTAACCACAGGAAGCTCAAGTTCACAAAGTGAGCATCTGCGAATATGCAAATATGTTCACGTTGCGCGATGAGTGAAATATCATGAGGATTTGCATGGCAATGAACAGTCGCACTCTAAACTTTAAAAAGTTCTGGACTAGCCTGAATAACAACGAATTTTCCCCTTTGAGTGGTTGTTTCTTAGCATCGTGTAAATTTTTAAGCTGACTTAGGGAAATTTAGCTCGATCATAGTTAATCTGCTTTGCGCTCACATAACCCTCTCCAAGATACGTCTGTGGGTAACGCCGACAAATTATTTAATCCACTGGAAGAAAAACGTGGTCAATTCGTTCCAGACGCTCTGATCGCCCCGAAATTCTACAAGTATCATGGGCGATGATGTTAATTTACGCTCGTGTTCCTCATTCCAGAGTCGTGTACAATGAACTAATTCCGGCCTTTATTACACCCATTTTGAAATCACTTGTGGTGACCTGTAATCTGATTGACTCTAATTGGTGCGATTTATTCACGAATCGCACTATTTTTTGCCTTAAATCGCATCTTTTTTCCAGCCAATGAGGAGGCTACACTAGAAACAAAACAACCAATTAGATTTCAAGGCTTGTTTAAAGTAACCAATCAAATTGCAGGAAAATGAAAGACAAAGAGTATCATGTGGCAAATTTTGCAACTTTTGTTTCCAAAACTCTTATTTTTTTCCCCCCAAAAAATGGATGAATTTAATTTCAAACCAGCACAGTATTACATCAATAAAATATTTGAACTGTGCAAATCCTGTATTTGGGCGATTTCAAAATGGATGTAATAAAGTGGTAATTGAACCTAGTGTTGTGCAATTTTGGTCTGAAATCATACTTGTGATTACAAATTGAACTCACACTGCGCACTTTGGTATCTTCCACCCGCAACTTCTAAACTAAAATCTTTAAATTCCATCGAAATTGCTGACCTCGGCGCGCGCCATATTTGTTTACAATTACGCGATCTCGTTTCGTGATTTTGTCGACTATCATCAATTCATCAATTATAATGAACCGAACACACTACATTTATCTTATGTCAAATCTAATTTTTCGCCCAGTGAAACATGATAATCAACGATAGTGAATGGAGCTGAAACTATCGTCGACTGTCATCAACTATCATGACCGTTTGAACTGAGCCTAAAGATTACCGAAAGCCTTCGGATGAGGCGTTATTTGCTTATCGCGGTACCCAAAGCCATAGAACTTTCAAATTTTTGTTCAATTAATAACAGCAAGGTAGGTGACTGCTAATTGCACCGTATGACATTACGTACCCTTGTGTTCTGTGAATGTCGCCACAATTAAAGTTGGACGTGAAGGACAATTCAAACATATTTTTCGTTTAAAGTATTCTTCTTTATACCCAAAAACAAACTTTCAAAGAATGTGGAGATGTTTTTAGTTTATCCTAAAAGTAAAAATATGGGTTACGGAGGTTCCGCAGTTACGGGAGGTTCCAGAAGTTCCGCGGTCTGCTGACCCACAGTTTAGCAACATCCCTCAGCATGTCTGCTTTAAAATTAAACGTGTTATATCAGCCGTTCAGTCAACGACAATAAGTTTACGGACATGCGGTTGATTTATCATATTTGATCGCCTATAAGTTAAAAAATAATTGAGTCTTGCCAAACCAGTCTCCTAGATATTGCAATTGATATGTTTCTGGACAAAAAATTCTTGACTTGATTTAGAAAATGACGCTCACCAACTTTGTCGAAATGTCAGACACTTTTTTCTTTTATTTTTTCTTCCCTTTTTCATTTCATATATTTTTTCAGATACTGTTGTCTACAACAGTCCTGACGCCTTCTCTTACTCGGACAATCATAGGGATTGTTAACTTCGTTAACAGCATTTGTTTTATTACAATTTAGGGCAATGAAAGCAACTGTTAAGTTACGAAAACCACTTATTTTAACGCAAATTCTAGCCAAAAATAGGTGTTTAGAAGTGTCAAAGATCCTCTGCAAGATAGACCACCTGGATGTACTATCTAGCGGTGGTCTATGACATTGTGCACCACCAGTGAGGAAAATTTCAATTTCTCAATTTCCCTTATTTGACAGCAATTTTTTCGTTATGGATTTCAATACGATCGCAGGAGTAGCTATATCAGGTACTACAGCTCATTCCGAAATTAAGGGGGGGTAAGTTTCTGAAGAAACTGCGATGCTGGGTCGGTAGGGAAGTATAACAGGGTAATTTAGAATTATCAACTGAGTTGATGATGAAAATTGGCTACCGTTAAGAGTTTAAAAGCTGACGTTTCGAGCGTTAGCCCTTCGTCAGAGCCAATGATTCGGAAATTAGATCTATTTGCGACCAAAAGTAATCTGCAAGTCATTGAAATGCATAAACTGAAACATGAAAGACGATCAGTTGGATGGAATTTGCCTGCGTGATTCCAAAGTTAAATAAAGTAAAATAATAATAGTAATAATAACAAAAATAGATAAGCAATCAACAAAAGCAAAAACTAAAGACATATTGCTCTTTTTCCAGAATTGGATTTACAGGGGTATAGGCAAACGATAATGTCGAACGTTTTCGTCAGCGTATTTTATTTCGTTATTTATTTATCGCACATGGAAACGAGGTCAGTGTCATCCCTATATCATAAAAAATTTTTCTCCTTAAATGTCAAAATAATGAGCAGGATTTCTGCGAAAATCTACGCAAGCTTTATTCAAATTTAACATTTCATTTAACACAGAAATGCGCTCGCGCCCTCTCCGAAAAAAACGTTTAATCGTTCTTGCCTTAAGTTTTTTAAGTAATTACTTTTTTTCACCTGTTGGGTACTCTTGGGTGAAGAAAGTATCTCTAATTAAAGTTTACTTATATGTTAAGGAAATAACCTTCTTTAAGGATAAAGAGTTCATGAGTGCAAGTGGATGGAGTCAATTAGTTGGTGAGCTAATCGTAACCCGAAGAAATAGAGTGTCATCCACGATGTATTGCCTTGTATTAAGTTTCGTATGACTTACAAACCGTGCAAAACCCCTCCCTGGGTTTCCTTCTTCTGTGGGCCTGGAAAAGGCTCGACTATGACTCCAACTGATCTCTTCAGTAACGTTTTCCTGTTGGGCAGGATCTTCCTGTTGATCAATCAATTCGAACTTCACTTTCTTCTTAAAGGGCCATGGTAATATGGCGTCATATTCACCTTTCATAACTTTGATAAACACAGACAGGTATTTATCATTGGTAGCTCTATCACCATTGGGATAAATAAGCACTTTCATCTTATAGCCATAACTATCTGTTCCAGTTTTTGTGTGGAATGGATCACTGTATAATGTTCTTTTCCTTCCGATCTTAGCTTGTCTCAGTGCTTCACTGTAATCGTCAATCTTCCAAATAAATGTTGTTGTGTGCAATAATCTCATGGCTTCCTTCAGCTCCGATTTTGTATTAGACAACACAGTCTCTGTGTTATTCAGCTTGATATCTGTGTACCCTAACTTCACTTCCGTTTCACACAACTTGATACTAACTATGTCAAGATGGACTCTTGTGGCAGATTCTAGATGAGATGCCACTGCTTGTCGTTGGATCTACAAGAATAAGTGAATCTCTTATTACATAGCGTCTTTAAATCATCACTTGGATTTCATATCATTAAATGTAAGTTCCAGGGAGTCATTAAGTGACTTTGGTCAAATACTGAGAGAAATATTTGGTTACATTTTCAAACAGATGAAAGTGGACAGTGGGACTATGTCTATTTCAGTTGTGTACATTTGAAATATGGATTTTTACATGAAGTTTTGAAAACCAAAAGAAGGGGAGTTTCTGTTTTTCGCAGTACTTTTCAGTTGGTTCCGTTCCAAGTCTTTGAAGCTCAAATAACGGCAATTTTCCATTGGCAGCCTTTATGTAGGAACTTTCAACACGACACGAAACAGTAAAAAAAAATAAAATTAGGAAGCAGAGGGAATTTCTCTGTTTGGCGTATATTAAAACAGTTTTATTTTGGGAACATTTGTTTGATGCAACATTTGCTTAATGCAATATAGCTCAGAGTGACTAGAATGCGGTTGCATGCATACATCTATGGACTGCTGGATTAATATACTTCTTGGTTATTTCATTTATCTTGGAAACAACCATGTAACACTTTACTCTTAACATCTAATACTTTGTTCTTACTCACCTTTGTTTGACAGCCCATACGCGCATATGGACAGGAAATTATACTTAATGGACATTCGTCTTCAGTGTGAGTTGAAACCTGAATCACATAAAACAAATGAATAAACTCACGAACGAAAGGGATAGAAATATTCGTTGAATATATTTTGCAAAATTAAACGTATCTAACGTTTGTAACCATGGTTGTTGCGCGTATCTTTTAGAGGTAGGGCAGCGTAGTTTTCAAAACATTCTGCAATTTCAAATAAGTTTTATCATTTTAAATCGCTGGGATTAACTTGATTTAATTTCCAAAGCAAATCGGACAAATTTGAAATCTTAGCTTGTAGCACTTTCACCACATTTGTGGCATACGGTGATCAAATTCATTTTGAAGATACTAACAAATTGATGAACAACGCATAAATCTTTCTATATTTGAATTTGTTTCTTTTGAAGCTGAAAGAAAGATTTGTCTATTGGCTCACGAGCTCTTGATTACTTCATATACTGTATTAAAATTTTCCACGAGTAAATCCTATAGGTCACTTAATGATACGCTAGATCGTTGCAGTTTAAGCAATTCACTCAATTGTGATATATAGTTCTGGTTCTTGCTTCTGGGGTGAAAATTTTCCATCAATTACTCGTTGAGAAGGTGTTGATAGCGGTAGATGTCCATCGCTGTTTCATCAAACCTCGAAAAGTTATATAACAGACAGCGTTAACCATTGTAATGAGTGAAAATTGATTTGACAAAATATTTAATGCTCTCAATGATCTAGCTATGATGCCCTATTGAAGGATTTAAACTATGGGTGGGAGGGATAGTGAATATTAAGAAAAAGAAATGTATTCAAACGGAATACGCAAAAGAAATAAGAAGTCTCACCATTCTTCTAGGAATTGAACGACCACAGCTGTTTGGACAAGTTACTGGGAACCCGCTGCACTTTTGGATATGATCCTAATAACAAAAAATTCCACGAATTGCAGTAAGGAATCTGGAAATATTCCTTCATTTAAGCGTTAGTTTTTTCATTTCACTGCAGAAACCTAATTCATAGTTCAGTCCCACTTTTGTTTTATTTTTGCATCTACAAAATTCCATTAGATCTATAGGAATATGCAGGAAGTAAAGGGTAACCTAAAGCACTTTTGTTTTTCGGAAACAGAATGATTTGTTAGCAATTTTGATTATACTGTTAAATTTGTCAGAAACAGAATTTTGGTTTGAAATTTTCCTTGTCTTAAGGTGTAGTGTTTTCACCGTTTAACTGACGATCTTACCTGCATTTGGCATTCTGGGTGGGGCTCGCTACAGTATTCACAGTAAAGGATTCTCCAGGGACACTCAAAAAGTTGGTGTTTTTCAAGATGTTTTCTTTGCACTTTTGCTCCACAGGAAAAATGGTCACACACCAAGAGCATGAAAGAACATGATTCTAGGTGAACCTATCAAACGAGTAAAATAAAACCAGAGAAGGCGATTTCCATAGCTCATTCTGTGAAAATCCTACCACAGCGCATGGATAATGGATAAATAGCTACATATTTCTGATAATTAGTGGAATTTGTATTAGTAAAGCTACCTCCTTGTTCCTCAGTTCCCCAGTCCATCCACAGCCGTCACTTGGACATTTGATTATCAATGAAAGAATTTTCCTTTCTGTAGCTTTGTCGGGAAAAACATCCTGCAATATATATTACGATAGCGATTTTTTACAAGACCTCTAACTTTGTGGAGTGTAAAATAAATATGACCCGTCAAATGATCGATGATAGTGATGAAGAACTCTATTAATCTGTCTGGTTGCTTGGAAGTTCTGCCAGGGTCATCACTAATATTAAAAGCTGGCATGCATATCGCATTAAGCATACTCACAATTATAACAGTGTAATAAAAGTCTGTCCTGATATGAGGATCTCAGCCGAACAAGATACCGTGGAAATGCAAGACGGTCATTTTTATGAACTTGAAAAGGAGATTATTTGCCCGGTCTTGGTTCAGACTCTGTCTGTCTGCCGGACAAATTATAGACTGACCTTCCCTTCGATGCCTGTTGGTGGTCGGAAAAATAGGAAGAAAATTTCAGATAGTTAAAAATCTTTGATCCTTACTTCGTGTTGCTGCAGTAAATGTTCTGCTGATATGCCATTATTTACTTTAGGTTTACGATTTACATTTTCTTCTTTACTCATAGCTATCCATTACTGATTTAAAGGAAATACATAAACAAGGACGATTTCAACACCAAAACTGATAAAATGGCATTGATATTTGGGGTTATATTTTCAACGGGGCTTCAAACCTCAATGTCTTCTGCAAATATTCTTCTTAGCACCTTTAACTGTACTCTTGCTTTGAATGTTATATTGTAAATGGTACTTTCTCCCTCTTAAACCCAATTAATCTGAAAGCAATAAAGAAACAAAGTCAACACTACACCTAGAAACAACATAAAAAACATCGATGGCTAAAAGAACTACAAACTTTTGGCCAAAGCAGCAACGACAAAGCAAACAAAGCTAAGATAAAAATAAATAAAATAGATGAAGAAATAAAAAGGAAAGCATAAACACATGATTCAAAGAAAAATTATCTTCATGAACGAGAATAATAAGAAAGAATCTTCAACAACAAAGATGCAAAATCACATTAACCCTTTACCTCCCATAAGTGACCAAGACAGAATTTCTCCTTACAGTACTAATACAATATAAAGCAGACAAGTGACGAGAATAAAGAGAAATATCAGTTAGAAGATCATTAGTTGATCCAATTCCAAATTCTCAAAACTAACATCACAAGAACTATATGGCAGACAGTACGGAGAATTACTGATGAGATCTTGGGAGTTAAAGGGTTAAAGAATAAGTCTCACCTTTAAAAAAAAAAACTTATGGAATATAAACGTGAAAAGAAAGATACTGGATCATTTGTACCCAGATCCCATCCAAAACGGCCGTTTGTCACGATTTTTCCGGGGTAAAACATGATTAGGTCAAACTTATTTCGCAAGGTATTTAATATGTCTCTCAATGTTTTTGTTTGATGCAATGCAAATGAATTTCAAAGTATTCTATTGTGTGGCGCGATATGATGCCAGGGAATAAATTGTGGTCTCGATTGTGGAACTGCACAGAATTTGCTTTTTTAGCAACTCCACTGCTTTGTTTAAACCTGAACTTCATCTTACAAGATATCATTGGATGTTATGCGTAAGATCAGGCAAATAAAAAATACTTTCAACAACTCAGTCAAAAGACAAATTTATAGGCTCGGTGTCTTTGAACAATAGTTGTCGTTATAACCACTGGCTCAATACACTTATAGTCACGGAAGAGTCATTCGATCTATGAATAACAAAACCGACGTGTTGTTAGCAGTTGCTAGCATTCGACCTGAATGATTTCAAAATATAAGACGACAGCGCCGTAAATTGCGCAATTAGTTCATATGATTTCCGCTTTCGATTGTAAGGATTATAACTCTTTGGACAGAGAGTATTTCCTTAAGTAGTGCGGAAAATATCTCGCGTCACGCACTCGAGAAAGTTAGAGGCATATTTCACAATGGGCTGAATAGGATTATATAAATTCAGCGCCACGTCAGAAATACCAGGCTTATTCTATTTTGCGAAACGAAACGAAACGTAACGAAAGTAGGCAAGATGTAACGAAACTAAAGGAATAATGCAGTGATATTTTCTTATAAGGTAAAGGTAGCTTTCACAAGGATTTTGGAGTAATCGTCAATTGATATGAAGGATTTTTATTCATTTCGCAAAGTAGTAATTTCGGTGACAACGTGACCTCTTTCATGTCACAAAAATACATTTAAATAATACAAATTAGTATATCACCAAAGATTTTGGCCTCCTCTTATTTCTTATTTCGCCAATAAGTAATTTTAATTGAGATACAATTTTTGCCATATGGACTATTAGTCGATTTTGCAAAATAGTAACTCTTCGACGCCATACGTTGCGTAGTTAGTCCATTTGATTTCCGCTTTCGTAAGAGTTATAACTCTTTGGACAGAGAGTATTTCCTCAAATAGTGCGAAAAATGTATCGTGTCACGCACTCGAGAAAGTTGGAGGAATATTTTACAATTTCATGTTTCAATTAGAACTATAAATTCAGCGCCAATAAGAAATACCAGAATTAGCTTTAATTATTAAAGAGACCTTTACTGTTTGAACTTATGATATCGACTATATCAGCGATAAATTTCCTCTTACTGGGCAGAATAAAAATTTTCTACAGGTAATGATAACTGACTTGCGGCTCAAGAAATTCCTCTGATAAATTTAGAATGATCAAATGAAATTAGCACGAGATTACAAGGGTCCATTATCAAAAGGATTTTGTTTCACACAAACTTGTACCTTGTGATGTATTCCTCAAGGCAATCTTTGCAAAATCTGTGGCCACATCTCGTTTGAATTGGCTCTTTAAGGAGTAAATGACATATCAAACATTGCAAATCTTCATCAACGGCTTCCACAAAGTCCTCGTCATAGCCTTCTGGGCGGTGTTCATCTGTTGTGGATTCCGCCATGATGAAAACTTTCGGTATGCAAATCAGACAATGAGCTTTCAAAATGGACGTCGATTTGACCTTTGATACAAATTGTTGATCTAACGAATCATATAGGATCTCCTGACTACTCAACTCACGCAAAATCTGCTTTTTTCATGCAATCGTTGTAACGTGCTCCTCTTGACCAACATAAGAACACAGAACACCTTTCCAGTCAGCAAATCGGCATGTTTATTTTTATCAGTTCCTGGTTTCAGGTTTGCACATAACTTAGCTGAGCAGAATATTATCTCTTTTAACTTTTTTCGAAAAAGTTAACATAGCTTAGTGAGATGACAGCTCACAAAGGAGGACATAAGTGTCTATGCTTTTATCGATCGGTCGATGTGGACTAAAAAAGGATTTCTTATGCTTCTCATTAATCTAAACGTTTAATTAGGCGGCATTAAAATATCTCGTGGGTTAATATTCTTCCTCGCAGTGTCATGAACTCTTTTTTATGCGTGATATTTGAAAGGTGTTATTGGTGGATCGGAAGCGGGAGTAACCGAACTGAAAGCTGGACGCGTTGAAATTGCCATGTTGATTTCCGCCAATCAGAAGTTTGCTACTCAGGTCGTTATGAACACTACTTAAGCAGTAGTGAAAATAAAGCCTTGAAAAGTTAGGCTGGTATCGGATTTGAACCTATGACCTCTGCGATACCGGTGCAGTGCTCTACCAACTGAGCTAACGAGCCAATTAGGACTGATCATTTTTTCAGTCCCAGCCTATCGTAAGACATGTCAGTCGTTGATGTTCAGAAATTATATTGCTTACATTACAGTTTCTCTTGTTCCCGTGTTTAGTCAGTCTTGTACCAGTTGAGGCTAACCTTTTCCCAAAACTGACTAGTAAACGGCACGAAAACACGGCAAAATTTTCAATCAGCACATGTCTAAAATCAAATCGGCATCTGAGCCTTTGAAGGCATTAATTCATTATCTGATGAATCCCAATATGGTGAGTCTAAACTTTCTTGAACCTTTTCTGGTGGATTTCAGGTCGCATATTTGGGTGTTGTTTTTTCGCTTTCAGTCTAACGACCTTAGATACGAGAGTCTCAATGGGGTCGAAGGATTCCCTCAAACAAAAGGAAATTAAAAAAACCATAGGCAAGACATGACAAGAAAATCAATCCATATCAGAGAACTTCTCGTATCCAGATTATAACCGTGCGGGGAATGGGCCAAACCCAAGATTGATTAATAAAAACGAGAATCATTATATTTGATTGTAATACCATTTGTCTGTTAAGAGGACCCACAGTATACGGTCCTCAGAGCCCATTTTCATTGGTGCTGTAAAGCACGACTATAGATTTCTTATCGTAAAAAAGCTTGTGGTTTTTCATCGTATTTAATCACACTTTCATCAAAAGAGAAAAATAATCGTTTATCTCACGATGTGGTCACTTCGGATGTGGATCGCTACTCTTTCATTGCTTACTGCTTGTCTACTTTAAGCGATGAGGTCTGGATTGGGTACGCGTAACCTTTATGCTGTTGTGCATTACGATGCACAACAGCAACGAAGATTCTGTCATGCAGATAACATAACTAGACATACAGATAGTGAAAATCTCATGACAGAATTTTACATTAGCGAGTTTTCCTTCAAAATCGGTGCCGTTGTCAAGTTTTGCTTTCAAACGTATCGGAGAACGGTTTGAGTCTTCCTCAACAATTGCTTTTGCCAAAGTAAATGTGCGAACGACGTTCCGGCCCAACGAGACAATCGAGAAAAGGCTCGAATAAAATTGAAGAGTCATTGATGTATACAACGGAAAAAAAAAACACATGTTTTAAGTTCGCCTAACCAGTGCAACGGACACGGGGTGTTGTGCACTGGAGTTCGGGGAGGTCCGGAGTGTCAACCACAGTGTAGGAATCGACAACACAAGTTGATTCAACAACGTTTAATGCTATCGTTTGACTATCGTACACATGCGGTGAAAACTGAGAAAAGGAAATTGTAATGTACAAGATCAAAAAATGGGCTGAGACTAGTTACAAAACAAGCGAGGTCGAAAAGAAAAGGAAACTAAATACAACAGGCTGGAACTTGCGTCTGATCCTGTCTTTACGGGCTTAGAGAAACTGCAACGTTACGTAATTGGAACAATCTTGTGTAAAAAGAAGCTCTGATCTATCTCCGTCGATCTCCTAACTCCAACTGACTCGACACTTAAGGGGCGTACCTCTATAAGGGTATAGTTCACGCATACAATTGCAAACTGGTTTATCAGGAATGGTAGCTAAGTAGGTAATTAAAAGTGTGAAGAAAAGTACACTAGGAAAATTGGGGCGTAAACTCGACAAAGAAACAAAACAGAACTTTTTCCCTACTCTAAATCAAAACAAAACGATTACGAAACAAAGTCTACTTCGAATGTTCGTTACATTTAAGATTTTCGATATAGGCTTTTTTATTTATTATTGAATCTGTCTGAATCCAATCTTAACATTTGAATAAACTTTCCGCATAAATACACCAAAATGTAACCCATGGCTTTAATGTGTTTATTTTCATTATCTGATGAAAGCGAAGCCTCGTTTCCACATGTGTTGGAGTCATCAGGTTGCCCTCCTGTACCAAACCCAATCCTGGAGTCGCAAGAATTGCAGTGATTCTGGTTGTTAGTAGCTATGCCGATTCTTGCTTTGGAAAAACCGGACCCACCACAGATAACATTGAACCCTTCTGTGTTACAGTCAAACTGCAACGAGGCCTCAGAGCCAATAAGCTTCTTCCACGTGTCACGACCCAATGAGGTGCTTCGGTACTTCCCCTTAGCGATCAATGAGTAAAGAGAGCTGGCCTTCATATTGATTACAATGAATTTCATCTGTTCACCGATCTTCATACCGAGACAGATCTTTGAGAAGGATGTGTCCCAGTAAGTAGGCAACTTGGTCTCTTTTGAGTCGAATCCAGTCTCCCCTCCAGCAGTGTTGTATTCAGTTTTATTACCCCAGTAACCAGAATCATAGTGAAAGGTACTCTGGGAGAATAATTTATAATATGATATAAATTCATCAATGCTTTTTTAATTATCCACCATATCATCCTGATCGTTTTTAGAAAGTTTGAGACGATCCCTCCCCCCTACCCATTTGACATAAAGTATCTTTCACCTTAGTCAAGGAGATGTTAGCCGGAGACATGAACAGAGAGCGGAAGTCGCCCTCGTTGTTAATAAGTCAGTCAGCACCTGTGGAGAAATATCTCTCAAGTGGTCGATCATGGCACGTAATCGATAAAAAATCGACCGCATGGTACCTTGTTGCCGTTAATCTTCATGACTGGCGTCCATCCTCCATGTCCACATCCAAAATCTCTCATGTGACAGAGAACTGTCGTTGGTTGTGAGCCCAGATGAAGGGAAACCAGTTTACTCGTATTTGATCTGTTACAGTTGAGTTCGAGAAGGTAAAGAAGTAATTATTTATCTTTATTAAACAAATTTATAACATTAATATTTTCGCGGTAAACTCTATGAAATATTATTTGCTGGTCCAAAGGGATTCCAACCACCTGGTCACATCTGTGTCTTCAGCGTCATAGGTGAGGAAATTACAAGATAAATCGGTTTAAAAGAGCAAGCAGTTATGGTAACTTACTTGGATGCATCATATACCTCCTTGCATGATTTTACAGCTGGAAGATAAAAAGATGATCTGAGAAATACATTATATCGCTAGGAACGGAAAAGAAGTGAAAAGTGTGGTTTTTAAGTAAAAGCCTCGAAGAGAATGTGTTCGAGTTCATGTTAGGGTTTGTATTCGAAATGGACTTCGAGTTGGTATCTCAAGTTATGTCTCTAGTAAATAGTTTAGTCAATTCAATTTAAACGCAGGTTGATGGTTCAATGCCGAACAGTAAAACTTTTTTAGAGTCTGAGATGTGGGAAGGGTCTTCATCAGCTCCAAAGTGGAAGCTCTGCTTTCTTTTTGGAATTTATACACGAGCATCTGATTGGTAGTTGAAGTGAGCTTGGTTGCGATAATTTGTAAATAATCATTCTGCGGCGGTGGGGGTTGTCACATGCACCCGTGGACCCCTCCCCTGAGCAATGCCTCTGAACTTTGGAGGTGTGGACTTATTCTGAGTAAAAATATAAAATGGTATTGCACAATTAAAAAACAGAAAAAAAACCAAACGTTGTCAATATCAATGGAATCACAGCAAATTAAGAAAGCGCACAAACCTTCCTCACCATATTATCCGAAAAAGCCATTTTTAAACACACATTCAAACGAGTGATCTCTGTGGCTTGTCACACAGCTACCACCGTTATGGCATGGGGAGGAAAAACATGGAGACTACCAAAAGAAGAAGGACAAAACTTACACATACCACACTCATCAATTGAATAGATACGAGTCACTTCTTCGCCTTTACGGCCAGAAATGTTTAGTGACAAAGAACTTAAATTCATAGAAATTAAACTACACTGTATTATAATAGTGTGTGTTGGAAAAAGCCTTACCATAATGGAAACGTGATGTGAAGTACTATTTTCTCTGAATTCCTCAGGAAATCTATGCTTATGAGAAGACAGCAACTCACACCAAATCTTTACATCGCGTTTCTTTGCCACCGCCAAGTTTATCGACCAGCATGAAGGATTCCTCAGGCATGAGAAGATGCATTCGAAGTCGTCGAATGCCGCGAATGTTCCAACCTTAGGCGCAGTGAGATAAAAGTATTCGTCTATTGATAAAAGACTTTGTTTGAAAGTCTTGGATGGAAAGGTGAACTTTTGCTTCAAAACCGGTGTTCCTGCAAGGAAACAGGAAATATCAATCAAAACAGTGTTACAGACTCACTGTATGATTCTTCAAATTCTGCCCCACAATATTTTGAACTATACCACCGGCTACATCCACTCAGGAGATGATGTCTTGTGTGTATTTTCATAACAGCAGCGATGGCTGCTATCAGTGCTCTCTGAACCCCAAGAAATATTTTAATTGCGGACGATTTAAAAGCGTGTAATTAAAGGAATGTTTGATTTGCTTATAGGCAAAAGAAATCTTACCTCCTGGAGGAGACGTCCCATCATCATGTCCCAAAAGAGACCACGGTACTCCCAATAACATGACGAAATAACGGCATATAAAACGATGAAACATTACGGTGCTCTCTGGATCTGATGTGGTATGACTCAGTTATGAGTTGCGTGGGTGGGAGAACCGTGCTGCTGTGGTAGACTTTGTTCTTCTGTCCTTTTTTGGGGGGTATCAACGCAGTTTATCGAGATCTTGTTAATCTTTTACACACACTGAAATGCTCATTTAATTCCTGCGGACCTCGGCAAAATATCAACGTTTTCGGAATTTCAGAAAGCGAGGTGTTCGGTTCTATTGTTGCCTAACAGGAAAACGTTTTTTACTGACATTTACCAAGCGTGCTGCTTGTGTAATTATGACATTTCTCCTCTTAACCTATATACTCGGCATCCCGCCGGTAATATAGCCTCAAAATTTAATTTTTTGCAGTGTATAAATTAAACTTGTGAATGAAGTGCTCTTGTGCTTGTCATTCTACTTATTTGAAATAACAAAAATTTCTTTCCGTCCTTAAATGCAATCCTGAGCTAAGAAAACAAGCTGACCGAACGTTTAATTTTTTTTTTCGCGAATTTTTAGCGTCAAAAAAATTATCGACAAGATAAAGAAGTTAGAATTTGAGTTTTTCCTTTATATCAAATGAAATTTGTTTGGCTCTTGAGGTTCAGAAATCTGGTGAGAAAACGTCATCCCGAGCTGAGAAAATCGCTTTGAGTTGAGTTCCTAATAGACTAATCGAAGGTAAAAGATTATAATCTCATGTCAAAAGGTGAAACAGCTTTTTTTTTTTTTTTTTTTTTTTTTTAAGATAGAAGGAATTTCATATCAGTATTGAAAACTATAATAGCCTTTTAAAATTTGATTTATGTCTCTATTAGTTACCGTTTAAACTGGCTGCATCGTGTCATTCAGAGTTGAGACAAATGAGTCACATTGTCACCTTTTCACTTATGATGTCAGTTACAAAAGGCCACTCAAGAAAGATTTTAAATTAAGATATGAAAAGGTTACCGGAGATGAAAAAGTATTTGCAATTGCTCCCTTACTGCTGAAAGCTAAGCATGTATATTTCATTAAATTCTTATTTTAATAAGGAACTTTTAGCCATAAGCCTAGAAATCGTTCAGCTCCAACGTTTAACGCGTATATTCACTATACTTCTTTCAGGTTTGCTGATCTAAAAACAAATTGTTCATAGAAACGACTTTGATCACACGCGCGTGTATCATACGGAGCGTTCTTCAGATCACGTAAACGCCTCAAGAGACAAAACCGGCAAACCAAATGAAACGTAAACATTTCAGATGAAAGAAAATCCACCAATCCATCATTCCATCAACAATTAATAATTCAATTCATGAATGAATAAATAAGCCATAGTTTATTATTTATTGCAATGGCACATTCAAGTCGAATTAGAAATTGTGAGTGTTTTCTTTCAACCCACATGTAAATGAAGGTCTCGGAATCGAACCCAGGCCACATTTTTGGTAAATGCTTTTCTCAAAACCGTGCTATCCCTTTTACCTACATAAATCATTTAAAAATCTGTCTGGTCAGGGTAGAGTATGCAATGAACCCCTTTGATACGTCTTTAATTCTTATTTTCGCCGAAGCATGGGGTGTTACGAAACTGTTATCAGCAGACCGCGGAACCTCCAGAGCCAGAGGAACTTGTGGAACCTCCGGAATCAGCGGAACCCGCGGAATCATTAGTTTTTGTAAAAAAAAAACTGTAATGAAATAAAATATAATCTAAAAAAATACCTTAACGCTGTATGAAAATTCGTTTTCGGGTATAAAGGAGATAACGTTAAAAGAGAAATAGGTTTATTTTTTTCTACCTTGACGTCCAACCACAGGAAGCCCAAGTTCATACTGTGAGCTTCTGCGAATACGCCAGTATGTTCACGTTACGCGATTCGTTAGATTCGATAGCAGATTATTAAAAATAATGCGATCGCAAGGAGAAGCTATACCAGGTCCTACAGTGCATGCAAAATAAGATCTCTTTTGGAGCGAAAAGGGATCCGTAAGTCATTGAAATGGTTAATCTGTAACATGTTTTATGTTACAGATTAACCAAAGTCTTTCAAAGACTATCAGTTGAAAGGAATCTGCCCGAGCTGCGTGACATCAAAGTTAAATCAAGTTTTAAAAAAAACCAAACAAACAACACAAAAAAGATAAACAAAGAAAAAACAAAAACGAAAACAATGCAAAACTAAAAACACGGCCCTCTTTCAGATATGGATGAGGAAATCTACTACAATCTTTATTGATAGTTTAACATTTAATTTCATACTTAACAGAAGGATACTCACGCCTTCTTGGAGAAATAGGGGAGCAACAGCAGAATACCCGGCCACTTATTTACAAGCCATTGAATAAGAATAGCGTCTATTGTGTTATGCCTCGATCTTCAAAGCCTTCCGACACATGTAAGTGAGGCGGACCAAAGTGACCGGATATTCTGCAGTTTAGCCGAAAAAGGTTAATCATTAATTCTTCAGCAGGCTATTTTGAAATAGTGTGTTTAAGTGGAGATAGCAGAGGGCTAAATCGGTTGAGATAAAAATAGTAATACCAAAATGGATAACAGAGTAGTTTATTATGTCCCTGGAAAAGTCTAGAAGTTATTGCTGAGCATTTAGCTTCATTGTGCCCTATAGTTTGGATACCTTTTCTTGGAGGACTCTTTCTGTAGAGCACTCTCCGATGAAGTAGTTACCCTCAAGTGAGGTTTATGTGTTTGTAGAGAAGATAACCCCTTTTGTAGAGGATAAAGAGTTTAAGAGGCTGTTGGGTAGAGTCAAATAGATGGTGGGCTAATTGCAACCTGAAGAAATAGAGTGTTATCCACAATGTATCGCCTAGTTTTAAGTTCCTCATGAGAAATGAATCGTGGAAAACCTCGACCTTTGTTTTCTTCAGCCAAAGGTCGTGAAAAGCTTCCAACATTGCAACATTGTGTATCGAGACTTTTAGAAACGTTTAACCGTTGTTCTGGATCCTCCTGTTGATCAATCAACGTGAACTTCACCATCTTATTGAAAGGCCAGGGTAATATGGCGTCATATTCCCCTTTTATCACCCTAATACATACTGACAGGTGAGTGTCTTTACCAGATGAAAAGCCATTGGGATTAATGATTACTTTTAGCTTGTAACCATAGCTTTCTGTTCCAGTTTTGGTGTGGAATGGATCACTATGTAATGTCTCTTTTTCGCAAATTTTCGCTCGTCTCAGAATCTCACTGAAACCGCGAATATTCCATACAAATGTTGTTGTGTCTACCTTTTCTGCGATTTTCTTAAGTTTTTTGTTTGTTAGATGCAGAAGACCTAACGCTTTATCCAACTCATTCTTTGTTTCATTTAAGTCAGTTTCTGTGTTTCTTTGCGCATCTTCCGTTTTGATTAACTTAATTTCTGCAGTTTCCAACCTCACTTTTGTGATATTTAAGTCCACTTCTGTTTCTTGCAACCGAGCATTAACTAAATCAAGATGACCTCTTACGGCGGAGTCAAGATGAGATCCCACTGCTCGTCTTTGAACCTACAAAAAGATAAATCCTTTATTAA